CAGGCAAAGGTCCTTGTGCGGGGAGGAGTGGGGTCGGGGGCGAAGGAGGGAAGACAGAGGACGCTTTTATTATCGGCATAAAGCAACCTTACTGTCGTTATCAGCTGCTGAAATCTAGAAGTTGCGACTATCTTTGCATCCGCCACACAGTTTAATATTCCGTACTTAACCCGTTCGCTGCCCGCAATCGCTATGTTGTTCCGTAGTCATTTATGACTTCGCAAAATCTGAGAAGGTACTAGTTCGGTCTGTATTTCGTAAATAAGTTATTTTCCAACTTCAAAATTAATCATAAAAGAGAATAAATAGTGTGTAGTGTACGTTTTATAGGAATTGCGCGGCCGCCAGTCATTAATTAATAAGAAATAAACGAATTTGACAATTTTACACGCCGAAAATTCTAGATTTATACAAATTTTAATAATATCCACGGTTTAACGACATATTATGATATTCCAATTTGAGGAAATGCCGCCCATATTAGTAGAACCTTTGTCCTGTTGAAACGTGCTGTCCAGGCAATTTACCAAATAGGTTCCGGAGTGTCCCTGAAAGATAAGTTTAAGAGGAATAACACTATTACTCTAGCGTTCTAGTACATTACAAAATGTAATTTGTATTAGAAACCGGTTCATGGAAAATAATGATTTTACATAATACAATGCACAAAACAGTAACTGTACTTGACGGTATTCTTTACAAAGTCACAAATTCATTTCAGACCTTTCGTAATGTATACGCTTTTGTCATAAGATAGGGGACCTTGACGAAAAAAGTTAGCCATTTACGAAATTTAAAACAAAAACTACATAAAATGTCCGTTGGCATCCAAGTAATTGCAAAATGCATTGGGAATGACGGAGGAATAGCTGCAGGAAATAGTAGTAACAGTTATGCATGGTGCGTTTGAAGGAAATAGAGTGAAACCCACAATCAATCAATGATGAAGAAAGGAAAGAAAGTGTTACGGAATGCGAAATTAGATTGGTGATGACCGGCTGGATCGAGTGATAAAGTTTGTACCTCTGGATGGTTTTTCAGAAAGACATGAAGTTGATATAGAACAGATACCGAAAGCTGGGAATCAGGCAGATACAGTTCCACACACCTTTCGTGCCGAAAAAGTCGTGTCTGGTTGTTCATAGACCATATTTCTGCCAGATTAAGGATGTCCTTAAAAAGGCTAAGTCGAATAATAAAAATAAACAGGTGTGTCAAATGATTGATGCCAGAGGAGGAAGCGAAGGAGGTATATCAAGTGCGTTTCTATCTGGTGGTGGTCCATATATAGTCTCTGGCTACCCAAGTGGCAAACCAAAGCGTGGTAGTTAATTAAGTAATGTATTGTTATTCCTGTACCAAAGCACAACGAGATTCGAACTTGAACTTAAAAGTCTGTGTTGTTGTTCTGCTTGAAATTCTTTCTTATTTGTTGGAAGAAAAAACATAACAGACAACAGCTGGATCTTTGGATCCGCGTTAATTCAGCGGTAAATGGTAGAATCCAAACGTGCTTCGTTAAACGTAACCTCCGAATCGAAATATCAATATATAATGATCTGCCATTCTTTGTTAAGGACCATTGCGAAATAGTATTGTTTGCTGATAACAATCAAACGGACACGTCCTTGATTTTTAAAACAGACAGACATGACAATAGCTATGACCACATTATTGATATCCTCTCTAAGGTAGTTTATTGGTTTAATGCTAACAATTTATTGCTTAATGCCCAGAAGACGGAATGTGTTAAATTTGAATTACCTAACGTAAAATCGACTAGTCTAAGTATATAAATAAACGGAGAGAAGTTAGTCCTTGTTAATAAAGCAGTCTTCTTGGGAGTGACCTTAGATAGTAAACTTCAATGGTTTCCACATATATTTTCCTTGGCCAGTAGATTAAGCTCCGCTGCATACGCAGTCCGCAGAATACGTGAGTTTACCGATGTTAATACTACTAGACTAGTTTACTTTAGTTACTTCCTTAGTATAATGTCCTACGGAATTCTCATGTGGTGTAAAGCGGCAGATATTCAAATCATATTTGTATTGCAAAAACGAGCGATTCGTTCTGTGTACCGTCTAGGCCCCCGAGAGGTTTCTCTCAGAGAAAAGTTTAAGGAGACTGGTATCATGACTGTGGCGTCACAGTACATTAGCTCAAATATTTTATATGCCCGTAAAAATATACATAATTTCAATAAGACGGAAGATATCCATAATATTAACGTACCACGATTTCGCTTAACCAAGGTAAACAACTCTTTTATGGGGAACTGTATACGTTTTTACAATAACATTCCGGAGCATGTATTAAGATTATCATTTCCTGAATTTAAAAACTGTATCAAAAATATTTTGATCGAAAAGTCACATTACAAAATTGAAGACTGCGTGTTAGATAAAGATGTATGGAAAGACGACACGGCTCCACAATCCGCACAAATTTGATTCATGGTGTATTCCATAGCATTTAAGTTTATTTGAAAAGAGCAATCCCTAGAGTTTCTTGCTCGTTCTTCTCAGGGAAATCAGCGTAGGGAATGAGCAGTAGCTTAATGTAATGTAGGTAACGTAAATGTGACGTTTTCAAGTGTAAATTTATTTTACCTATGGAATAAATGATCTTCGACTTAGACTTTCAAAGAGCGCGGGAAACATTCGTCAGTTCCGATTGAAACAAAATTAAATTTCAACTTACTAAAAGTTGTTTAGGATAATTCTTGCGTATATAACTCGTTTTAGACGACAATGCTTTGCAATGTAGTATCCCGAGAAGAAGATAAGAGACGTTTGATGTGCAAAATTGCGTCAAGTCCAGTTGCGAAACAGTTCTATCGCGCGACTCGGGCGAAGCGCATCTTGCGCCCTGGCGGAGGACAGCGCGGCTCCTGCCGCGGGCGGAGCGGAGGACGACCCACCTCGAGCGGCCCGGCTCCGCGCGGGAGCTGCGGCTCACTGCGGGCTTCGGCCGGCGCCGGCCCTCATGGCGACGCAGACGGCTGCACTCACGCACTCGCGGCGCGGCTCGGCGACGCGCGGTCGGCTCGGCGGGCGCTGCGCGACTGCCTCTCCGGGAGCGCCCGCCCGCGACGCGCGCCCCGCGATTGTCACCCTCAACCTCGGCTGCCTCGGCCTTTGCAGTGCGGCCTACTACACGAGCGTCGCTTCGTCTATCACATGTGGATCACATTTTATAACAATAATGTTGTTTTAGTGGCCGAACGGTTACCGTGCTCGTTTGCCACGCGGAGGTCCCGGGTTCGATACCTCGGGAGAAATGTTTGTATGGCTACATATTTTATTTATATTTTGTTTCTCTCGTGAATTTGGTTGTAATTTGAGGTTACCTATGTGTGTGTGTGTGTCCAAGACACCCCCGACACAGGGCTTCCGTAGTGTGGCCCTTTAAGAATGTGCGTTATTTATTTAATGCAATGTTACAAACGCTCTGGCTGAATAAACTAATTTGCTAGTACATTTTTATACATTAAATGCGTGTATGTTGTGTCATTTAAGTAAATTAATTCGAAATAATACATTTTACAAATTATTTTTAGGTTAGACGAACTAATACAACCGTTAACAACAACATGAATAAACAAAGATAACAGTTTGCCAAATGTACAGAGTCAAATCATCACCCGAAACGTGTATTTGCAAAGCAAAAGTTGAAATATCATACTGAATAAATGCTACTTGTATGTTTCTGCATTTATTTAAACTCGCGACCGAAGCAAATACTTGATCAGGCAACTTGTCATCTAATTGCATTAAAGTGTACAGTTGAGTTATATTTGTGCTACTTGGGAGTATAATTGACCTCACACTGCATTGGCAAAGGTATGCAAAGAAAGATCCAGCGGGCAACTCTCTCTTCACATAGTGACGTATATACCTACAGATACAGGGAGTCAAGGAAATTGTGCACTTGTTTATACGAATAATATACATAATGATATTGTTAGCGATGAATGCTTGGGGCGTACACCTGAATGAACTGCATACTTAATTCGATTTCAATTATCTGTGTCCATTTTATCAGAGCGCCCAGACTCGGCAGATCGCGACGGGTGTTTGCGCGTAAAGCGCGGCGTCGCCGTCGCCTTCGCCCGTAAAGGGAATTAGGCGGAATGGCTCCTTAACAATGATCGAGTCGAGCGAAACGACTCTTATTCCTAAAGAGCTCGTTTCCAAAAGGATTTTATTCGGCAGCGGAAGATTATATTACTGCCCGCTCAAAAGGAACATTATGCGCCGTACTGGAAACTAGAATAACGTCCCATTATGCTAATTATCCGTTTTGCAGGCACAAGGGGTAGATATAAATAGTGAACGAGCGAAGCTTTTATTATAGATATCCGAGTCAACGAAGCGGTCAGGGAGCGGCAGTTAATTATGAAAGAACAAGAAGCTAACTTCGGCCTCACCGCTCGCAGATCTCAAGTTAAAGACTGAAATACTGACGGAAGGGCTGGGGACCCTCATATTTCTAACTACGTGCCTTCGAGCCGCTGAAGTATACATATACTTCTGGTTTGCGGTGAACTATTGCCGATTCTGGTCCGTCGACTTCTCCACACCACACCTTATTAGTGACGCGGTTGTGTGGTCGCACGGGGGAATCGCATAGCAGAACGTATATTCATTCTTAGTAGGTACCCCAGTCGGTAGCTAGTAGATCACACCCCCTGGTCCTCTATTTTGCAACGGATAGACGCCGGCAGGCGAGGAGACCGTAACTGCTTTACATATGACTCCTTGCTGACAAATAAATATAGACACGCACAATCAACACAAATACAGGTGTAAACGAACGGCGTCAAATAAAATGGGCGTTTCATATTTTCGAAGACGTCTGCGGCGCAGTAAGGACGCCTGAATTGCGATTTAAATTTTAATATTAAAAAGCGCCTGCGCAGACGCGGATCACGAGTGGCATTTTAAGTGGAGTACATGTCCTTCTTCTCATAACAAAAATTAGTTTTAGCACGAAAGGAGCCCACGAGACGTACCAGTCCTTTCCCGGATGTCTGGCGCACCTCGGGCAGCGATCGGCGACTGCTTTGTGCCAGTTAGCGAATCTTTTCACCACGATGGCTAGCATTATTGTGTAAGCCGTCGATACGATAAGAGTAAAAAGTTGCAGCGACACTTGTGAATAAATCTAATACTATTTATAACTAAATAACTAAAATGGCTACAGAGCACATCAAGAAAACAAGTGGAGAAATATAACAAAACCATCATGAAATTTGTTTTCCGGACACGTGATAGCAGTGTATTTTCAAATAAGCAAATTTCATTGTAGGGAAATTTGCAGTTCTTTATCATGCTTTGGTTCACCAAGTTTTTTACATCAGAGTATAAAAATCACGATGAAATCCGTTACATTTTGAGAATATTATATTTTTTTATTATAGCCTATTTGATGAGATGCGGGGTGATCAAGGCCAATCCAATATATGAGGCATTACCATACATTGATAGTGGGCAAGTAGTTCAAGGTCTGAAAGGAAATGGACATCCAGTCTACAACGTATGCTATTAAAACCAATAACGTCATTTAGGCAGATAAAAATCAGTTTAGTTAGCATAATACTGACAAATCTATTAAAGTGGTTTTATTTGTACAGAAAGAACTCTATGCTTCATAATAAAAGTGCACTGTCGCCACGTTCGGTGTTTTGATTGGATAGAACTTGTCCTGCGCGCTCAAGTACAGCTTTTACAAATATGAAGTGTGCTAATCCTAATAATAATGTAACGCAATCGGGATTATTTTGCTTGTGGAGCGGTGCGGGGTATAGCGCTACGAGGGGAAGGCTCGCCAGCAGGTGCGCCTGAAAATTCACAGAAGTTAAATAGACACGCATGACTTTGTTCCGGGACCCACCGAATGTGTTTCCGCCGTCGGATTGTTTCCGACCTAATTATACGCGCAACTTCGCCGCCGCGCCTTAAGCGATTAGGTACTTCGCAACCCTTATTCCGCTCACGATCCTCTCACACTCGCTACCTTCATACCGACGCCATTAGATTATTATACATCGCTTCATGGCTCGTTTGTTGTTCAAACCAAACCTACTATTATGACATTGTATATAAGAGAAATTTTGCTTCTTCAAATTTGCAGTACTGCAGGACTTACCTCAAAACCTCATATTTTTAGGAAGAACTTGGTTATGTATGTCAATGAAATAATTCCCTGTAGCCACTTACACTATTTACAAAAGGTGTTGTTTTGTACATCAAATTCTATTAACGTTGTTATTGTGTACTGTTAGGGTTTTGGAGTACAATAGCATAAGCAGCGACGTCCCTTGACGCATTCCACTTAGAACGTTACAAGTACTTGGTCTTGGTTCTATATTGGTCGAAATGTCGACGCTTCGACGTGTACTTCTGAATGAATACTATTATGTTGTTTGGACATATACATAGAAATGAACTAAAGAAATATGAACCGATAACCTAGAGAAAAGAAAACAATAACTATCGGTTTGTAACCGCAAATAAAAGAAGGCAAGTTTTAAAAAACCGACCTCGAAAATTCAAAAATCATTCATCCCCAAGTTTTCCATCCTTAGAGGTGGAATATTTTCTTCAAATTTAAATGGGACCACTACTAAGGGTACCTCTGTAGTGGTCCCATTTAAATCTCTCTTTACAACGAAAAAGAATCATCAAAATCGGTTCACAAAGTTATCGCGTAACATATGTACGAGCTGCTTGTCTCGTACAGTAATATGTCAGAAGATATCAGCGAGATGATGCAGGGAGATGTCAAAGATGCTGTAGAAATAATACTCGACCGATACCACGGAGTAACTTTATTGTACTGAAAATTATAATTTATACATTTTGCACGTGCACAATGTAGGGTGCGACGTTGCATATTGTCAGTTGCACAATAATGTACGTTGACCCGTACATACTCCCAACACACAAGGAAGAAATAAAGTAAAAATGTCATTAAAAATTGTAAATATGCAAAATATAAATCCAATAAATTAACAATGTAAAATTTTTAAGTATTCCAACTTAAAATATAAAAACGGTTCTTAAACATTTCACTTACATGTCACTATAAATTGTCAACTTAAAAATTTAATATAAAAACAAATTACGAGCAACAAAAATATTAATTAACTAGGTTTGTAGAATTATTTAAATCGAAGTGAATTTTCTTCGGCATCGTTGACGAGGTACCGGTATCCACACTCGCCATGGAACCTCTCAATGCGCTAGTCATTCTTCCGGGCGGCAACATTGAGCGTGGCGCAGTGACTATTACGTCAGTGAGTGGGTAGAAATTTGTTGCGCGGGCGCTCTTTCTTGCAGGTTACATCGCTTAGATATTATGTAGCATCCTATGATCCCGAGTAATGATAATGCTAGTCCAATGATACTTGTGAAGATAATAATGTAGTGCGTGTTATTGTTGTTGGTAAACTGTTCTAATTGTTGTTGCTTCATGATGTCAATCTTCTGTTGGATTTCTTCATATGTTTTTTCATGGTTTTCAGGAATAAAATTGTCAGGTAATGATATATTCATGATTTCGTTCAATGATAAATGAGTGTCTTGCATGTCAAGGACAACAGTGGGACGTATAGTTAATTGATTGATATAATCATGCTGAGAATATATCAAAAACTTATCTCTTTAAATCACACATCCCGGTTCCGGGCTTAATAGTCCATTGCCTCGTAATTGTTTATTTTTTATTTCCGAATCATATGTTGATTCGAACGCGGCACTCGGTGCAACATGAATATAGCCATGTACCGCATGCGTGCAATTTGATCCACCTATCAGCACATTTCTTTGCGACAGGTGTGCAATACGGTTTGTTTTCATTATTTATTTACATATTTTGTAAGTCGCACAGGGATTGCCCCATGGTCATTAAATATATGGGCTGATTCACCGGGCAAAACATCTGTTGATCAGTGTGATGGATGCAGTGTTGCATGTCATTTTCTGTCATAGGTATTAGCGTATCTTTTTTAACATTCACCGCTAAATATTTTGTTGCGGTGGTTGTATA